CCCCAAAACCCCAAAACCCCAAAACCCCTTTTAAAATTCCAAATTTCAAAATCTCTATTGCTCTTGGGTCAAATCTAATTTTACTTGGAATACACTGAAGAAATTTCTGACAAGCTGGATCTCCACTCCTTCCTTATCCTTATTAATTCTTTGGTTTTCTTCTTCATAATCCAAACTCTCTTGTCGTCAATCAAGGCTTCCAAGCCCCCCTGTGGCAGAGTTTTTGTGAAGATAAGGATTGGAGAGAGGTCATGTGTAGTACACTCGTGAAATTCGAGAGTGCTCTCAAGCCATCGAACACATTATTCAAGGCTCCCTGTAGCAGATTAGCCATAGATTTTGAGCAAAGTATTGAGCATCAGGATCGTATGTAAGTTTGTGCTCATTGATAGACTTTCAGTGCGGGATTTTCTCTTCTTCTATAAATTTTGTATTTTGTGTGAAACTTACCTTCCTCTCTTTTCCTTTTCTCACCACAATGAGTCAAGATCTCTTCTTCTGTGGAACCTTTTTGTGCTTTCTTTTGCTCCAAAATATTTTCCCCATTAATTTTGAATAAATTCATTATAGAATGATTTATAGGGCTCCATTCTTCTCCTCTTCCAGTTTCTCAACTCACTCGTCCAGACTTCGGATCATATAGAGCTGCATAATTGTTCATGCAAGGGTCTAATGATTCTACTTCTTCTTGTTCATTATATTTCTCGATAATGCTACCTCAAATTCGTTGTAAATCAGCGATCTCCTTCTTTGAATGATTAATATCTGAAAACTTGTCTTGTTTATACTGCATTGGCCAAATTTGTATCAATTTTTCATAAATAGACCTTACACTGACACTAAATCTCGGAACTTGGAGTATATTTCCATACTCAAAAAGTACCTCTGTTGGCTTTTTCGACTGTATTTCTTCCCAATTTTCAGCTTCTCTTAGCTTAGTCCCCTCATGATTAAGAATGAACTGTGTAATTTCTCCAAATGTTGTGTCAAATAAATCTATGTTTGAATGGATATTATCATAAGTTGAAATAATTATTTCAACACCTGCTTTGCCTAATACGATCAGTTAAGATTTACTTACCCTTCCGAATTCTTTTGAGATGGCTCAAAGAGGATCCCTCAGTCTTGAATATCTTCGATTTTAAGAGAGAGTTTATCTTTGATGTCCCAGTTGGATCGAACTCAGCAGTCAAGATCTTTACGAAAACTGAACTCTCCAGATTCGTATCTCTATGAGATAGTTATGTAGCTTACTGTAACTTTTGGATACTGAGTGGATACACTTGTTCTATGTCTATAAAGAAAGTTTAGAGTCATATGAATATTATTCATTGCACTAGAGTTAATAGCCTTAGAAGTTATTTCCAATAAATACTAAATTTGGTAAATGAAGAGCTGGTTTTACCTCACGATGAACTTCAAATTTGCTGCTCCATCTTAGTTCAAAATTAGTGGATATTTTAAATTTATGATTTATATTTTGGGGTTTTGGGGTTTTGGGGTTTTGGGGTTTTGGGG